TCTTGTACCAAGTACTAACCTGCCTTGTTGCAGGTACATCGAAGACGAAGCTGGAGCCATGGCGCCACAGGTAAGTCTCCCTGGCCTCCGCCCTTCTCTCTCTCTCAACCAGCGCTACTCTACCTCCTAGCAGCGCCCAGCGCTGAAGACTACTCTAGCGCTAGCTACTACTACTACTGCAGTGCTCCTCCAGAGTGCTGCGGCCAACTCCTGAAGACTGCCTCCTGCCTCCTGCACGTGAAGTGCCCGTGAACTGCCTGGGAAGTCCCCGTGAACTACCTGCAGCCTGCAGGGCGGACCAGTACTATATAGTGCTGGTCCGGCCGGGAGGCTGCTCTTGCCAATGCCGAAATGTGCCATACCCTGGTGCTGAAGTTCAAACAAAGGTTGTCTTGAAACTGGCCTAAAAATGGCCTGCGCTGAACCCTAGTCTGGCGCCAAAGTTTCAGGAAAGGTCGACTTTATGAGGGCCTGAAAATGGCCCTCGCTTTTAGGCTTTTGGTTGAAACAACACAGGGCCTGTAGGACCCTTATTTTCCGTCTGGTCGGGCCCTGTAGGCCTGTGTGGCTGCGCAGCATGCCACAGCGGGCCTGGAACCGAAAGAAAGTTGGGGTTGGGGGGCAGGAAAGACTAAACAACAGACTAGAAAGATCCTTTTTGCTGGATAGAAGATTCTCTTCAGATAGTACACAGAAAGATAGATCAAAATCCAGTCACCTTATGGGAATATGTCTTCTTAACAACAACAAGCTACAGCAAATCCCTTTAGTTGCTAGCTCCCCACACTTGCTCTAGCGTCTCGTGAACATCCGACAGCATCTCAGGAGAGAGGAGCCAGGAGTAAAGAAATACACAGGACCAAGTGGTAGCGAAAATAAGTTAACTTAGGCAAGGGTGAGGGGTGGTATCCTACCCTAGGGAAGTCACTAATGCCATCCGCTCGCGCTTCTCAACCATAATGCGGCGGAGCGTGTGTGGGTCCTTATTGTATTCATTATTGACTTGCCAGCGGAATAGGAACTGGACTGTTGCTCCCCAGAATGGTACGCGCCACAACCGACAGTACTTGGCCCAGCTATAAGCCATGGAAAAGAAATAGAGTAGAAAGCATACTTGCGGTGCACCGGCACTGTGCGCTGCTCGGTGCGCTGCGCAGCGCGCTGTGCGCGGACCCGAGGTGCGTTGCGCACGCAGTGCGCTGCACACGTCTGGTGTGCTGCGCGCGTGTGCGCAATTATATTTCCATGTTCTAGCGGTAGATTCATTCAATTTTGCTTATCCTATCGATGGAAGTACCAGGATGCCAGCCGCGAGGTTGGAGACTTACCTGCTCTCTCTCTCTCTCTCTCTCTCACACACACACACACACACACACACACACACACACACACACACACRCACACACACACAAACAAACAAAAAAACTAACTTCAGCTCCCCCCTTTTTTTTTTCGGAGGCCCCGTGCGGGCTCAAATTTTTGTTTTTATTTTTTTTGTGGTTCTTGACGCGACATCCCACTCGGGCGTACAACACCCCTCCCCAACTTTTTTTTTTCTTTTTCTGTCGACCCCTTATTTTTGGGGTGCGCCGCACCCAGTGCGCGCGCGTCGTGCGCTGTGCGTGGTGCGGCGCATGTGCACGGTGCAGGTCATGTCGATGCGCAGCACGTATGGTAGAAACGTTTTTAGTTGGATGAATTTGGGCGCTCCTGCAGTGGCCCGTATGTTTCCTAAAATTGTGCCTTGTTAAGGGGCACAACTTAGGAAGTACTGGTGGTTTAAGAAAAGAGAAAAAAGTAAAAAACGAAAAAAAAAAAAAAGGTTACGATGCGTGTACTGCGACCTCCAGCAAACCAAATGAAATGGACAGAGTAAACCCTCACTTCCACTCCATGTCCCGGCTCCCGAGTCCCAGTTCCAGTACCAATCCCAGTTCCATGGGAATATATTCTTGTGTCCCAGGCAGGGTCCAGTACCAACCTTCTGGTTGGTCCTGGTAGGCCTAGGAAAGTTTTGTAGAAGTTGGCAGGCCTTTCTTTTTTTTTTTTTTTTTTTTTAAACAGAACCTCACGGTTCTGGCACCTACCATTCTGGGGAGCGACAGTCGGGTTCCTATTCCCCCGGCAAGTCAATATGGAATACATAAAAGACTCACACACGCTCCTCGTCCCTTGGTCAGTACGCCTTTTTGTCAGTCCGTCAGTGCTCCAATAAGAGGACTGCAGCTCCTCCTGAATTGCAGCCTCCAGCAGAGTGTCGTTGATGCGGCTAGAAACGAGCTTGTTCTCACATTTGGTCATTTTTTTGAATTCATTTCTCATTTCAGTTGATTTTTTTGAATTCATTTCTCATTTCAGTTGAAACTTGAAACGTGAAACTTTACACAATTTTGAGACCTTATCTTGTGCTTGGCGAAGATCCCCAGGCATTATCAGAGGAAAAAAAAAAAAAAAAAAAAAGGATCCCCAGGCACGAAGATCTAGATAACTGAGATAAGTTCTTCACCTCAAAACATTTTATCATCATACATAAATTAATAATAATATTATGTGTTTTTTGGGGGGGCACCATTTCTCGATTTACGTGTGTCATGCTTGTGCAGGGGCCATCTGCTAATCTTCTTTCTCTCCGTGTATCGCTCCGATTTTCTTTTTTTAACGGGGTGTCGGGAAGGGGGTCCGAAGGGCACCTCGAAACATCAACTTGAGGAAAAATGAAAAACTTCCGAAAATGTAAAAAAAAAAAAGACAGTGTCGCTAGTGGAAAGGAGGGAATGTGTGGAGAACAGCGCAAGAGACATCATGACTGCCCTCAAAGAAGGAAAAAAGAGTCTGCGCCCGGACAGAACCGTTGTCTACAATCGATGCGGATCAGAATAGCAGGAGATGTCCGAAACTAGACGGAGCCGCCGTCCACGAGGCTCAGCCTTTTGTGAAACAGAAGAGGAGCAGATGTTGATGAATGACTGCGGAACCGGGGAGCCTTGTAACTGCAGCAATCTCCTTCAAACAAAAAAAGAAGGAAAAGGAAAAGAAAAAAAAAAAAAAAACTTAAAAAAAAAGAAAAGAGACACATTTTTTTATCATTGCAATTAATTTGCTGAAAAAAAGACTGGGTCCAGCAGCACGCCTGCAGCAATCTCGTGGGGCGGTTGGCCCTTTGTAGAAGTGAAATATAGAGACAGCTGGACTGACTCAAACGCGCAACACAACCGTGAAATGCCACGGCGCACGCTGTGTGCGACCAGTCTCGAAGTAAGCTCTCAAAAAGATACATCAACATTGCACTGAGAGGCGATGCTAGCGAGGCTATGACATAGGGTACAGAGATGGCAGTTGTGTCTCTTTTTGCTCGCTTTCCAGCCGGCTCAGAGACTGGCTCGCTCCATTCCATTTGCTCTCTCTCTCTCCAGCCGGCTCACCGGCTGGATCGCTCTACTCACATCTCCATTCAACATTCCTTGATGTCGACAAGCTAAACCAGTCCTCTTGCCTTGCATGTGGATTCGAGCTTGGGTCTGTGTATTTCAACAGTTCATAGGGATACCAACTGATCTAAGGCCGGTTGGTGCTTTTTTCCCAATTTCAATTTGGACCATTTCTCGACTTACAAGTGTCATCCTTGTGCAGGGGCCATGCTGATCTTCTCTCTATCGTTCCAGTGTAGACCAGTACACGGTCCTCCAGCGCATTTCCGTCCTCAACTGCAGCCCCGAACTTAACCACAGCCAGCAACTCTGTACGATTGCCGAGCGCCTATCAATCACAGACCGGCAGGGTCCTCAGAAAGAGCTTGCATAGATTTTTATCATTTTTTGATGATCCTAATTAATCAGGTTGGACAGAATTAATCGCTCATTAGCTTTACTACGTTTCCTCTCCTTCGATCTGACAATACCATCTGTCAGTGACAAGTTGCATTACAGGAAGGTGGGGATGCCGTCAAGTCCGCATGGACCTTACGGGCTGGGCTACACACGTGCTCCAGTGGCAATGACAACAGGAAGCAAGGCTTTAAGGCGGAGCGAATCAATCCTGAAACATTGCTGCAGCGAATCACTGAGCAGCTGGCGAGATGACCACAACATGTACTCTCCTTTGATTGATCTAAGAATAGTACCATCCGGCGACCCGTTGCATGAACCTGGATCAGATTTGGTAGGCAATTCACTGAGCAGCTGACAGGACAACCAAGTAGGATCCATGGCGCATCAAAGCGCATGGTCATTATCGCTGTATCTAGACTAAAAGCTGCGCCGAATTCAGCTACAATGACAGTGAATCCATCAGCATGGTGCATCAGATGACCGAATTCATTCCAGTGCTAGTTCAAGCTCTAAGACTTGCTGGAGTAGTAATCAGCGGAGCGATAAACACCATCAGCTCGGCCACAAAATAATCGATCAAGAACCTGTCTACAATTAGTCAATCAAGTGAGAATACCCCCGTGAACTTTCACTTCCCCGTCTCCCTTTCCTCTCCACCCCAAGGGCCTCCCCCTTTCACCCCACTATCCCCCCAACCCCTCGCCCATCTGATCCTTCTTTTTTTTTTTCCCCTTTTTTGCATGTCATCCTTGTGCAGGGGCCATGCTATTCTTCTCTGTATCGTTCCAATTTTAATGGACGTCGTGAAGGACACTCACCCATCTGATCTTACCTATTCAACGACCTCCAATGAGCCGCTGAGTTTCTCTTTACTAGCGATGTTGTCCAGTAGGGGTAGAACAGCGCCTTCGCCTTTTTTCATCATGATTGGGCGATTGCTTCTATTCCTTCTTCTTCTCCCTTTTCTCCATCCGAAGCGCTTTCCTCTTTCATCCCCCCCCCCCCCTCCCCCTCTCTATCCCCCCAACCCCTCACCCATCATACCATGCTAATCTTCTCTGTATCGTTCCAATTTTAATGGACGGCGTGAAGGACAGTCACCCATCTGAGTTTCACTTTACTAGCGATGTCGTCCAGTAGGGGTAGACTAGCGCCTTCGCCTTTTTTCATCATGCTTGGGCGATTGCGTCTATCTCTTCCCCTTCTCCCTTTTCTCCACCCCAAGCGCTTTCCCCTTTCACCCCCCTATCCCCCCGACCCCTCACCCATCTGACCTTGCCTGTTCGACGGCCTCCCACGGGGCACCGAGTTTTTCACTTTACTAACGATGTCGTCCAGTCGGACAAGAATAGCGTCTTCCCCTTTCTTCATGCTTGGGCGATTGCGACTATCCAGATCTGCACAGCTGAGCCCCAACTCTACCGCCTTCAGCACCAGATCGACGTCCCAGTCTCCTGCCTTCGCGTCAAGAGCACTTGCCAAAGTCTGATCACTTTCTTCAAAGGCTTTTCCAAGGGAGCGCACTGCATCAGTGAAGTTTCCGGAAAGGATCTCCAGGACGGTGACGCCAAATGAATAAATGTCAGTCTTCTCGTCAGAGAACGTACCATTACTCTGGCAAAATTCTGGCGCCAGGTATTGCAAACTACTTTTTGCTGCGGACATACACATTTCCGATGCTCGCTCTGGCGCAAGCAAGGCCGCCTCGACCTCACCAATTTTAGCCACAAGGTTGGCATCCAGAAAGATGTTTTCCGGCTTGATGCCGCGGTGGATGATCGGACCACCGGCCACCGACTGATTGGAGTGGAGAAAGAACAAGGCATGAGCGACCTGCGCAATCACTCGCAGACGCACATCCCACGACAGCGACTTTCTTGTCGACCCCCCCTTTGCACAGGAGATGATGCGGTCTTTGACACTTCCATTGGCCATGTGCTCGTACACCAAACAGTTGTTCTCATAGCACACACCCAGAAATGTCTGCAAGTGTGAGTGCTGAAGAGACTTCAACCGATCCATCATCTCCCTCGTCAACTTGCCATGCTGATTCCATAATATTTTGTTACCAGCCTTGAGCTGCTTTATCATAACAGATGACATCTTTCCGACGTAAAAATCTGCATAACGTCGCTCCTCAAGCTTACAGCTATCATCGAAGCTGTTGGTTGCAGCCTGCAGTTCCTGTGACGCAAACTCCCATAATCGATCAGCACGATCTTTTTGGTTCCCAGCCGCTCGGAGACCGACATACTTCTCTGACGTATCCCCTGCACTGCAATACCTTTGCAATCTGCATTCCAAATCTTTAACATTGACCTTCGATTCCTCGTACATCTCTTCTAGTCGCTTAATCTCAGCCTTGGAGTTTTCCAACCCTTCTCTCAATCCCGCACTCTCAATCCTTAGACGGCGTGCCTTAACCTTGAGTCGCTTTACAGTCTCTGCATGTAGTTTGTCGCTACTTTTCTTCTGCGACTCACATTCTTCACATCTCGCTCTCAGTGCCTGCTCCTTCGCTGCCAGACTCCTTACCTCATTCTTGAACTCCTCGATCCTCTCCGCATGGATTTGCTCCTGTTTTACGTGCTGTGACCGGGACTCTTCAAACCCCTTTTTCAAAAAAGACGCCTCAGTGCGAATCAACTTGACCTTCTTCTCTGCACCCGTGTCGATCTCGTTTTCTTTTCTTTTGTTCTTTGGCAGAGGCTGCACGAATCTCTCTGTCGGTGTTGGGGTCTGTTGCATCCCATTGCTTTCATCAGTTCCGACAACGTTTTCCTCATTTTCCGATCCAGACTGATCTGATCTCTCACCCATTGCCCCTCTCCTCCAGTTGAGCTCATTATCAATGTTCTTGCTGTCCGCTCGCGCTTCAGTCTTTTCATGCTTTGACCGTGCTGGTGCCGCCGTCTCGTCCGTCAGATCAATTACGCCTGTCGCACGTGGCGATATCTTTTTTGCTGGCATGCTCCCCTTTTGCTTGTGCGCTGCTGCAGAGTCCTCGGTGCCTTGCTCCGATGTGTTTTCGGTCTTTATTTTCTTAGCAGGATGGTCTGCCTCCATCACGACGAACATTCCTTTGCCTCCAAGGATGACGTGATTCGACTCTCGATAGGGAGCCATGCTCTGCAGTCTTCTCAAGCCGGTGCGATGACAAGCCACTGGTTTATAGTCTGAGTCGTTGTACACTTTGATGACTCCGGTGTCTAAGGCGCACATGATATACGGCCGCAGCGGATGGAACAGGGCAATTACATCAACCAATCCTTCGGCGACTCCAAGCGTGGAAAGGCATTCTCTCCTCTGGTAGTCCCAGATCTGCACTTGCCCCAAACTGTTACCTGTGATCAGAAGTGACTTTCGCTCGTCGCTCCCGAACTCCATAGACGTAATGCTCTCCCAAACTTCGTCAGTACGGAGAACAGACCATTCTCCGTGGTCATGCAGTCGTATTTCACCTCCACGTCGGCCAGTTGCAAAGATTTGTGATTCCGACGGATGAAACGATAGCTGGGTTATATCAGGTAGATCAGGCAGGGGGAGTTTCTCCCAACTATGGACGTCCCACATGTGAATTGAGTACGTTCCAGCTGTCAGTATATAGCGCGAGCCATAGTCTGTGGCCAGGGGCGGCAGGGGCGGCAAATCGACCAGGTGACGCGATACCACCGGCCCGGGGCTCGAAGCGCACAATGAAGGCTCTATTGTCAGACGTCTTTGGAGCAAAAATGTCCCAAGGTCCGAGGTGGACATTATAATCTTGTAAATGTCAATGCTGTAACCTCTACTTGTGGAATAAACGAGCACAACCCAGTCTTTCCTGCCTAAGAATTTTGCAACGAGATATCTCGTAGTTCTACCACTGGGCTTATTGGCCACCAGATGGCAGGTTGGGCGTTTGAAATTCCACACTTGGAGCAATTTGTAATCGCGTACAAAAACAACCCATCTTTTCATAGGATGCACATCAACGTTGAGGTAGCAGTCCCCTAAGTTTCTCTCCTGACGTTTCAGTTTGAGCTCAAGTTCCCCTTGCACGTCAGAACTCGCCATAGTCGGCGCTCTGCCACGATCGATTTTCAACACTGTCAGGCACTCAATGCCCCTTGTTTCGCTCGTTGATGATTGATTAACTTGATTGTTCTGAGTGTTCACTTCAACCTGTCAAATTACAGTAGACTACCCAAAGTAACTCTCCTCACGATTCAAAGAAAATGCAACCCCCCCCCCTCCCTCCTCCCAAAAAAAAAAAAAAGGAAAAAAAAGAAATGCACCGAATGCGAATTAGTCGGAATTAGCCTGCATGGGAAATGAAGGAAGGGGATGAAAAGGTCTTTTTTTTTTTTTTTTTAAGTTTCCATCCCTATTACAGGACGCGGTGTTCTTGCGGAAGATTCCTTCTCATTTTGCACATTGGCTGGCTGCTCAGTTGATGCACACATGAAACTGTTGAATTGCAGACGTGAGTTTGACCAGTGGCGACCACTACAAAATAGTTCCAATTTACAAAGGATCCGACGGTGTGCTGATGCCTGGGCCGATGCCCCCCCGAACGCTGCACATCCCTTATGTTCTAAATCAAACACCCTCAATGTCGCCCGGGCAAGATAATGGCCGTGCCTGGGCTGTGGCTGGCACTGGGCCGCAGGTTCACTTGTTATTTTAAAGAAAAGAAAGGTGTGATTCTTGGGCTCATTTTACAGTTACACCTCACAACTGCTTCCCTTAGGGTTCCGGGTTTAGGGTTTAGGGTTTACGGTTTTGGGTTTAGGTTTTTGGGTTTTGGGTTTTGGGTTCTGGGTTTTGGGTTTGGGGTTTGGGGTTTTGGATTCCACCCAGACCTCTCCAGCCTGTAGTTGGATGTTGGGCTGGCCAGAGGGTGAGCGGAACATAAGAAAGACTGCCTTTTGGAGGAGCACAAAAACTGTGCGTAAGAGGATAGATATGGTGTAAGGGCTGACACAACTCTTTGACAGGGGGAGCAGGGGTGAATCTGCAAGCTAAGATCCACCGAACAGGATTTAAATCTTACTCGTCATAGCGGCCAGTGCCGGCCACCCTGCTGGGCATTTGAACGGTCATCACAGACGGCGGACAGTTTGAGCCAAGTGAAGCCTGCGATGGGCTAGAAACAAACAAAACGTATATAATATTCAAGAAGGACCAGCATGGTTTCACGCATGTGGAAAAAAAGTTTGGGGAGATGACACCTATTAGGAAGGGAAGGAGGGGAAAGCTTTTTCAGAATGAGAGGTAGTCAGAAACGTAACACTCGTCTGATGTCAGCGTAAAATAAAATACAGCCTCACTGCAAATTCATCTCTAGAAAGTTAGTAAAAACATCGATGTATCTGACGAAAAATGTGAAACAGACATGAGAACAGATACTCTAAGAATGAACAGCAATACAGTTCCTGGAGTAAACACTTTCAAATATTATGAAGATATGCAATGTAGACACCCTCTCTCTCTCTCTCTCTCTCTCTCTCTCTCTCTCTCTCTCTCTCTCTCTCTCTCTCTCTCTCTCTCTCACACACACACACACACACACACACACACACACACACACACACACACACACACACACACGCACGCACGCACGCACGCACATACACACAATCAGTTTTATGTCTGTTTGTTTTCCTCTTGTTGTTTTTCTAATTACTTTTACTCACCCAACTGAGAACCCTCAAGAAGTGCCAAACAGTCGGTGGTTCGTCATTTGGAGTGCCTACTGCGCTCTTAGGGGGCTGCTCAGTTTGGGCTGTCTGTGTTGCCTGTGGGTGATGATGGATAGTCGTCGGAGTGACTCCCTGGCTCAGTGGGTGGTGGGAACCAACAGTCTGAGTAGGTGATGTGCTGCTGTGCCCTGTGTTGGATGTGCGGACTGCCTCGTCTGCACTCTACCACTGCCTAGCTGCCTGTCACGCTTGCTCCGCATGTGGTTCTCAGCAAGTTGCTGTGTTAGCTGTGTGGTGTGGCCGTGTTGCTGGCATTGCCTTCCGCTTCGCTGCTCCGCTGCCTTGCAGCTCATCCGCTGGTCGTGCATTCTGTGTTTGTTGCTTGCGTGCCTTGTAGTTCACTTGCCTTGTAGGTGCTGCCGTGTGCTCCACTGCATGGTTGTCCTGCTACTCGACCGCTAGCGTGTCGTCCCCTGCTGTGCGGTTGCCTTGTTAGTGCTGCTTTGTGCTTCACAGTGCGGTTGCTGCACTGCTTGTCCTGCGCGCAGTGTCGTTCCTTGCAGTCGTTTTTGGCATGGTGCAGCCATGTTGCCTCTACTGCGTCGCCTGGTGCTCCGCAGGGTTGCTGCCCGCTGCTGTGTTCTGTTTGGGGGACAGTCTCTCTTCGACAAGGGTCAAAGGGTTCACGACCCAAACTATCCAATACAAAGACTCCGCGGATTGTCGAGGGTTCAGCCTCCTGATGAGTTGGTGCAACTCCGACGAAACAATCTTTGATCATCAGCTTTTAATTTATTTTTTTCGGTCTTCGCTTCTTGCCTTGTGCTGTTTGTCTGCCCACCCTCCTCCCCTCTACCCTCCAGCCTGTCCTTTGCTGTTTTCTTTTCTTCTGGTCACTTTGCTGTTTTTCGATACTTGTGCCCTCCCGCCTCCCCCATGCGTTTCAGCCTATGTGCTGCCTCACTGTTTGTTCCTCCTCTCGTGCCTCTTAGTTCATGTGCCGTGTTGTGGTTTGTCATCCGATGGTGCTGGTTCCCTGCCCTTGCCTCGCTGTCCTTTGCCTTCCCCTGTTTGTGAAGTGTTATTGCATGTGTTCTGGTCTGTCTGAAAAGAGGAAGTGCCACCCACCCCCCTCACTTCGTCTTACTGCTTTCCCATATTTGGCTGCTTTCGATTTTACGGCCCTTTTAAGTACACTCACCACAAATGGACACATGATATGGTTTTACCCTGCCGAGTTGAAAAATCACCTCCGCAACTTGCACCTTGCTCACAGTGTGCCGACGTTGCTGGTCGGAGCAGCGGGAGTATGACATGTCGTACTGACGCATGAATCATGTGACACACACATGCCTCACACACACACACACACACACACACACACACACACACACACACACACACACACACACATATGCATGTGCCTCCAACACTGGCCCTGGGGTTCCGGATGTGATTTCGGGTTCGCCTACGGATGCGCACGTTATTTTTGGATGGCCATAGGGCCACTGCCCATTTTCTGGCCCACGGTTTATTTTTTCAGGCTGAGTTATTTTTGTTTGTTCTATTTACTCTCTTATCTTTTTCCTTCTTCTCAAAATAGGTCTTTACGGTCATGGCTCGATGATTATCAGCCCACTTCCTTTCCCCCGGTAAGTCAGAGCAAATACAGCATTAAGCAATTTAAACCACAAGTTCACACGTGCCCAAGTTGACAAAGCTGCCTTCCAAGGCTTGCAAGCCTGCGACTGCGCCTTTTCAAAGTGGCCTGCCACTTTCACTACACGCCCAGGCCCGAAGCCAAGTGCTCTTACTGCGCATTCTGGTAAAAGCACTACTTAAGCTCAAGCGAACTCGTGGTATAACCTCCTCAGGCTTCCTTCTGTCTGGCCGAAGGACCCCTGAACATCATTCATTGCTCCAGAGTCCATACTATAGCTGCGGCACACCAGCGCGCAGTGCGGTCCGCTGTGCGCGCACTGAGGGAGGTGTG